ATCGCTTGCAGGAAAAACTCATAAAGTTGAAGAAGTGTTGACTTGAAAGCCTATGAAAGACTGCTCACCTTATGACGTTGAGGAAATCAACCACGACCACCGTAGTGCAACGTTAGTGAATAATGAGTCATGCCCTGGAGAGGTTTATGTGCGAGGGTGTAGGTCAAAACCTGCGTAAGTCCAAAAACGGCGCGAGTTCTTTTGTTACGGTGATGCATTCCTCTTTCCTATTCATTTTGGGATTCCTTGCGGAAATCCAACATGCTTATAGGGTCTTGCGCGCCGCCATCTCAGCTTCTCGCGATAGCATTGAAACTGAGATCTCAAATTCATTGTTTTTATGTCGCTGCCTGCAATGAGTGCCCAAGAGCGTACACATGCTTGCTTTCCGCAAATCGTCTAGATGTTCCCATTAGTATACATGGCGGTCTTCCCGTTTCACCAATATATTCATCCCCGCATAACTTACATGGCAGATATATGACGCCAGAACGCACTTTTATTGTTTTGTCTCTGAAGTATCGAACCTATGGTTTGCTCATGGCTTACGAATATGAGAATCACCTTGTTTCCATAATTAGGTACTAAATCTTGTTTACTTCCAAATAAATTCCTTTCCAAACGAGTGCAAGATACTGCTAACGTGCTGACTATGTTGAACTCGCGATCGATAATTATTATTCATTATGTATTATTGTATCCTGTCCCTATTCAGCCGTATCTAAATATTGTAATGATTCTGGCTCTGACGATAAAGTGTTTCTTTCGTAGAAATATCAGTCAGCAACCGTGATCATCTTATGCAAATTAAGCCCTACACACAGTTTATCATTTGATTTTCTCTTTACTACTTCTTCTCAATATTTCATAGATAGAGGTAAAATTTCAAAATATTTATGGAATATAGAAAGTATAATGTTCAATAACAAATTCTGTGATCACTGTTTCGTTTGTACATGTGCCTCGTATAATACAACAATTAATTGAAAAACCAAATAGATATCCACGAACAACATTAATAACAGAGATGCATGGGGAACCAACTATTTGGCAGAACAAGTTTATCCGTAGTCTGCAGGGTTTTGATTTTTTCTTTCTATTTCGAATCAAAACATTTATTGTAGGTACGTGGTAATATATACAAATACAAGAGTAATACGTCATGGTAATTAAGTGAAAAATCTACCTCAGCGCTATTACCATGACTGTGCAACGCAAGTAAACCAGGCCATCGAGTTAATCTCATCAGGCGTCTGCACAATTTTAGTGGTTCCATACGTTGGAGAGGAACTATTGCTGCTGTGGCAACTGAACTGTAGTGCAGGGTCAACCTGAAGGCTAGGTGATCTTGGAGTCTCGCAAGATATTATTGCAAAATAAGAACTGACCACAGTGCGCTGATCTGTAGCTGACCGGTCTTCTGAGAACGGAATGAAGGTCCGCACAGGACCTTCTGGCTCCGCTAGTCAGCTGCTTACAATACTGGACGGGCTGCACGACGCTGAGTGGCTACAAGAGGATATGGGTAAGATGAATGCATTTCAGGATTGTTTATCAACCTACATCAGATACGGCTCATCAGCTTTGCCTTCTTCAAAGATGTCGCCGAAAAGTTGCACCAGAAGTGGGTTCAGCTGATATGGACTGGCAAATGTGTGCCGCATCTTTTGATGTTCCACGACCTCAGCGGAGAGCAACTGTAGGTAAACGTTGATTTTACTTGTCGAAGACAACAAAAAGTAATTTTACACTTGATTATCTCATCAGTTTGTCGGGCAAATAGCTTTACACTGTTTTTCGCTTCAGAAATTTTACTTAATACGTTTAGAAGAATATGAACGACCATATAAAAACATAAATCTAGTTGTTCTGCTTAAAATGTATGAAAATATGAAAAAAAAACCACATTCAGAATCGTACGCAAGAATATTTTTTTCAACCTTTCTCAATCGTTACATTAATTGTGTAAGAGTACCCTATATCGTTTATTACCCTAAGTTCAAGTACAAAATTCATGAAGCTATATTAAAGCACAATATATTTTGGAAAGGTTAAAAGCCATCTTGCTCAATCTAGCGTATTGCATCTAAAGTTATTAATTATATTCTATTGGCAAAGTATGTTAGTATTAGCTAGCTAGAAGAAGTGTTGAGATTGTCCATATATCAGATTGAACCAAATACTGCCAAAGAAAGTGTTGGACCTTGACTGAAAGCTTAATTGTGAAGCCTGTCAGTTGCACTGAATTTTCAGAGACGACACGCTTTTGAGGATTCAGTTCCCATTATGTGAGTAATTCGAAACATTTCAATGCAGCCGGCTTTCGTTGATAATAACGCACGCCAATGTGTCCTAATTTGTATCATGTTACCGGCGCTATGCCAAATCACGTGGCTACGATCCATTATGATACATGAAGAAAAAGTTGGAATAACAAGTTCACTTCAAGGTCATTAATGTCACTAATTTGGAATTACGTTCCGATTTAGCGGCCTGAGAGAAAAACTTGTGATGAAATGCAGTATGGTACTTCTCAATATTCCATTGATTCTAGTCCGAAAATTACAAACATACGTAGAGTTGCGGGAGCAGCAGGAGAATCTTTGCAAGACGACCTGCTGCTTTAGTAGATTCGTAGGTATCCGCACAGTGTTGGTAAAGAGCTGAATGCACGCGATCACGCAAAGCACTCACAGCTAACTCAGCACCGGTGGATAATCCAGGTGCATCTGAAAACGAATATTTTCTAAAGTGTGGGTGCTCGCACTTCCAACAAACATTCCAAATAAAACTTCCGTTTCGTGAGATAAACCGATGATTTCTAAATGATACATCTTTATTACTTTGATATAGTCTATAAAGCTATAATACGCGCTGTAATCCCTCATCAATTGCCGCGAAAATTCCTTGATGGAACGATGCACACGGAAGAATACGATAAATGTTTACGATTCCTCTTCTTTTTCGCTACGCAATGCGGAAAGCATTTTATTGCCCCATAAAAACATGCGGTGGTTTTATTCAGTGTTGTGTAAGGTTTTTGTAGCGATACAGTTTGATACCGTCCGTGACAGGAGATTCAGTCTTACTGGACGACGGGTTTAGAAACGAAAGACACAAAGTTTATTATAAGAAGTTTGGTTTTAGAAGTGCTCTTTTGTACATAGAGCTTCAGCCCGTTAGAGCAGCGAAGAAAATGTGAAAATTCCCATGCAAATGATTAAAATGTTAAGACTCAATCATACAGTTTAGGATAAAACTTTATATCGTGGCTTTTTTGAGCGAATGGCATACTTTTTTGCACTA